CAATGACATGGGGACACACTTTCCGCATCAGGAGGTGGATGGGCTCTGCTCCCTACTCCTGGGGCACTCGTTATCATTGCTCTCAGGTCTCAGGGAGGCCATTGGGCTGAGGCTCGAGGGAGGGCTGAGTCCAAGAGAACCCCCTGATCTACGGTTTAGATCTGAGGGCCGCCACTCAGCTGGGATCCGGTTTGGTTCCTGGCTCATGAGCTGACCCAAAGCAAAGAAGCCAAACCCTGTTAAGCCAAACCCTTGCCGACTATTGGACCGAGACGCTCAGTTCCTCGTTGGCTGTCAGCCAGAAGCTGCCCTCAGCTCCTTGCCATGTGTCCTCGCCGGCCAGGGGGAGAGAGAGCCTGCCAGCAAGAGAGAAGTCACCATCTCACGTACCCTAATCATCTTTGCTCCATCCTGTTGGTCAGGAGCAAGTAACCCGACCCAGCCCACACTCGAGGGAGTGGGATCACACGGGACTGTGCACAGCAGGAAGGGTGTCCTGGGGGCCAGCTCGGATGCTGGGGCCACGCTGATTGGCTGATCAGGAACCTCCCATCTGCCAGCCCTGTGTTGAGCACAGGGCACGCCCGCCGTAGGCCAATGCCACTGTGCTTTGCGTCCATCTTTCCGAATGGGGTTTACAAAGAAATCATTGTCGTTCCCTTAGTCTCGTCCTCTGGGAATTGCGTGCCTCGGGTATGGCCCTCCGTAGGGCAGGAGGCCTGGAGGAGGTGTCTCTGGGTCTGATGGAGGGAGAGGCAAATGGCCCCCGTGTCCCGGGCTCGGTGCTGGGGAGCAGTCCCTGGAATCGACTCTGGGTTGTCCCTCTTCTGGGGGAGCGCAGAGAGGGGAGCCCATGTGCTGCTGTAAACAGTGCAGCTATGGGTTTGGCGTGGGAGCGTTTAGAGATCACGTGGGCGTGTGGGCGGTGCGGCGTCTGAGGAATGTGGCCTCGGGTGGCCGTTCTGCCTGCTGGTGTCTCCTGGTCATGCCACCCCACTGGGGTGTTTCAGGGGCTCACCCCTTCCCTCTCTCAGCCTGGGGGGTTTAGGCGAGGCCATCCTCTGCCTCCCTGGTCCCTGCCCCCTCCAGGGCGGGGTGTGAGGCTCAGCCAGCTGCCCCCCTCCAGGGCGGGGTGTGAGGCTCAGCCAGCTGCCCCCCTCCAGGGAGGGGCGTGAGGCTCAGGCAGCCAGTGAGCTCCTTCCTGGGGACTTCTGCCGGGGTTACCGGGGAAGGGATGCTTTTTCTGCGGGGATCACTGAGTTCGTGGAGTGTAAACCGAGAACGTGCCACTTAATTCTCTCGTTGAGAATCAATGCAACACAGACAGAGTGGAGATGGGAAGCAGGAAATGGGAAGAAGAAACCTGGGAACAGTCTGAGGCCCCGGAGCCCGCTAGGTCTGAAGTCGGTGAACTCCCCTGAACACACGTGTGCCCCCCACTCCTCACCTCCGCCCCCACCCCC